GATACTTTTGCACGTTACTGTAAATTGTGGTTATTAACCTCGCTACTCATCAATTATATACGAAGAAGATAATCATTTGAGATTGTGTGCAAGTTTCACAATCGAAAAAAAAAATTTATTTTACGTTTACCATCTTACTGTATTGTAGTGTTACTAACATTGTAAACATAACCAGTAATATAATTATATATCACCAATTCAATACTGACAAATGTTCGAACACTTTTCGTAATCGAGTACATTTAAACATCTAATCACTAGTTACAAGTCAGAATGGTTTGTGCTAACCCTGTCGTTTGTTGAAGCATATACCTAATTAGCATATACCTAATTAAGACATTGTGTCACTAAATACTAATACGTGACAATTGGTTTGAAGAATGTTTAAGAACAAACCTTTGGTTTATAGACCATACTATAACAAGAAGGTAGAATGTAAAAAAAAAACCATTACAACATGGAATTGTTATTATTAGATTTGCAGAAAGATTATATTGGTCAAGATACTGACCCATTGCCACCATTTTTCATAAATTTGTCATGGTACACCCAATACTAAACCAGTTTTTCTAGGTTTTTTTTTTTTTTTTTTTTTTTTTTTTTTGCCAATAAGCTTCCACAAAAGTGATAAGAAAGACACAATACGAAAAACGTTCATTGATCTTTTCTGTAATAGATACCCATTATTATTGCGCTGCAGGAAAAATAATATAAACTAGTTTTGTTAGACAAGGTATTGATTACAGAATAGAGTTTGTTAAGTAATCAGGAGGCTTCCATCAACGTTACAAAGTATCGCAATTATGTAAAAATATCCAAGCCGTGTCAATTCTAGACTAGCCTGCACTTGTTCAGATATAAACATTTCCTTATCTACTGTTAACACAAAGTGAACTTTAAATATTATATTTGTTACATAATTAGCCCATTTGTACATAATCACTTTTTCGTGTTATTGAAAATAAAGCACTATAACGGTTGACCCAAGTTTGCTATTTATGTAACTGCTGCAAAGAAATTGTATATATCACATGACTCTCTAGTAATATTTGAATATTGAAAGTGACAGGTAATCTAATTCTAACAGGCATATATGGAAATTTTTTAGCGTATATGCAACTTGTTATTTGAGTTTTCGAGGTCTTTATTTAGGCGCACATAGGGTGCAGTGGAAATAACATAACTATGTTATTTCCACTTAGTTTAGGTTATGTATGACGGGTCAATCACAGAACTCAAGTCATTCAAGTGACGGGTCAATCACAGAACTCAAGTCATTCAAGTGATGGGTCAATCACAGAACTCATACAAAGGTCACTAACTGTCAGTCTGGTTAAACTTTTAGTAGGGGCGCTACGCTCCGTTCTAAGAAAGTTAAATCCTTACGAGTCACGTGTCATTCCTCTCTCCCGTGACATTTGCCTCGACAATTATAACAAAAGTTTTAACGTAATTTCCGAAAATCTTTATCTTTGACATAAGCCTTTGTTAATTCACTCAATATTTATACAAAGTTGCTCAAAGTTGTAAAACGTATGCATGTAGATATCGTGAATAAGTTTACTTATTGATCATGGCCAGTTGTGTTAGTAAAAATTTAGTTTACATATGGGCTACCTTTAACGTTCGATCGGCGAAATTTCGTGGTGATCTGTCCGGGCACTGTACTTTTTTTTTTCATGATTAGAACATAAACCCTCTCTAACTACCTCACAGGTTTGTTGATATAATGGATATCACGGGGAGACAGTCTTTTACTTAATTTGGAAATTGAGAGTATGACCATGGTCATACAAGAATAGCCTTGCCCCCCTGCGGTTAGGGTTTTAAATAAATGACATGATAATATTCATCTTAGCAATTGGAATTACTGCTACTTTTAAATTTAATTCACAATAAAAACTTTTTTTCAAGACAATTTGCTCACTTCCTTTTGAATTGTGGCTCTCTCATAAAAAAATCTTAAATTTTTTTGTTGTTAATTGTCTCACTTTGTGTATATCCTAACAGACTTTGGATCAGAAGTTTAATTTGTATTGATCTTGATATCAGCAAGGTACATGTAATTAGGAATGAAATGTGGATATATTTCAACTGTTAATACTTCTTGTGTTCATATAAAAATTAGACACATCTGAGGTATAAAAGTTTTCGTGCTATTACTACAAATTTTCTGTTGCAGAATGTTTAGTATTCACTCTACACATGGCAAAGTCAAACCAATACTAAAGAAAGCCATATCTAAATATGGTTTATTATGGGTTTAATTATCAACAGAAACTCAATAAAATAGTTTAGATTTTGCACCGAGAATTGTTGTCCTGTTGGTGATAAGTGGGATAGGATTTTTAATATAGCAATTATCAAAACTGATATTGACTTTGTTGTGTCCCATTCTGGGATCCTAATGATTGATTCATTTCTTGCAAACATGAGATAATCTACAGAAAATTTTTTATCACCGTAACACACTTTATTCGATATGTGGTTTGACCTACAACTACGCTTAGTATTAGTGGTTACTCGGGTCCATTTATCAGACAGCCATTTCAAATAAGTTGTATGATGATGCATACTTGATTGTATCACTCATAATAATATCAATAAACACCTAAACAAGCAAATTTATTTATGAATAACAAATAGGAATAACAATGTTATCTAATTAGTAATTATGATGCTTTTATAAACTAGCAGTTATTTCTTAACGCGGTCGGTATTTGCTGAATACACATTGTTTTCTGACATGAACGTCTAATATTCCTGAACCATGATAATGCGTCAACGTGTGCAGATGCATGCTACAACTAATTTTCTGTAACTGTCGGTGTTAGATGAAATTTCAGTGTGTGTGGTGTTAACTGCCACCATACAAACATTAATAATTGATATTTCTTATTAGTGAACGTTTAACGAGTTATTATTAAAGACGAATAAACAGCTGTTTATTTTTAATACTTTACGTGTTTAATTTATCGTCCCTGGTGTACTCGGTGTGTGATGTTTGTGGATTATCACATCGCAAAAACCAAATCCCAGAATGGGCATAACAACTTTGTTATTATAAAACAATAAAAAATATATAGGATTACCCATATATGAAAAGTATTGAATATTATGCTTCCACCGAATATGAAAAGGTAATACGTTTCCTGGAGATAGGCTGCAATGGTGGTTGTTCAAAAAGGATAAGTTTGCTGAACTATGTGAAGCGTATCAAGCTCTCTCTAGATTCGAACAAGACATATTTTTAATGGCCCAACTGAAAGCAATGAATGGCGGAGAAATAATTGCCAGCCGACGTCTTAAAAAAACGCGTACTAATAAGCGAACGTTTTATTACTGAGATCGCAATACGCCTCTTTGCCAGAAAACATATGCAATTGTCACGCTTACTTCGAAATCTGATCTGGTGGCGAATGGTATGGTGTCGCGCATTGGCGATAATACAAACAAATGCCGCGATAGAAAATCAAAATAACAATTGAAAAAAAAAACGTTGCCGAAATTGTAAAGATATTTATGCTATCGTCAATCGCATTACTCAATTGCTTGCAGGTCTATCGCAGGCATTGGAGACAATATAACATTGGATATGATGCATTCCGCAAGTTATGACACCAGCTAACGCTAACGCCTTATGTGAATCCAAAGCGGATTATGTAATTCTAGTTAACGATTTTGGAACGGTTACTTGCAAGAAAAAAGATGCAAGAAAACATCTGGTTAGAAAGAAATTATTAGAGAGATAAGTTGAATATTGTAGCGTTGACGTTACTGCTCATTACAGTTACGATTGAGCACAATATGTTCATGTTCTACAATTTGATTAACAGGTAAGAAGATTTATTATCTTAGTCCGCGTAAAGTGCATCTGATTGGTATACAAAATGAAGCAGTACATGAACAAATTGAATGAGGATAAAACTATAGACAAAGGCCCTAATGGCACACTGAGCATGGTAATAGATGACTCTGTCATCACACGAGATATGAGACGCAGGTTAGGATCAGTGCAGGTATAAACAACCTAAACAACGTCGAAATATACTTCCACCTTGTTCTTCGATACTTGGTGGGGATTGATCACTGGTCTATCAGTACATTATTTATTAGTAAAGTGTCATTTAACAAACTTGAAACGTTTATCAACACAGTTATTTAAACCATAAAATTGCATCTGGATGAAACACTTTGGTTTGATAGTTACTATTTTTATATATACAGTTTCTGACTCGACTTATTTAAGGTTTTGTCGAACATTTGTTTATATAACTTTCATTTGGTTAGAAAGTTTCTTTTTAGAATATAGTTTGATCTGTGTGTGTATGTCCTACATAAATAAATTAACCTTGTTACGTTACCTCACGTTCCATGTTACCGAAAGGCGTTCGTTAGAGTATGTTTATTGTTACATAGAGAGTGCAAATGTCAGATATAGTATGCCACGAGATACACACAGCTGCAGGGATTCACGAAAGTGTTTTTCTTTTGGTCTAACATATACAGTTGGCATCTACTTGATAATGTGCTTTTCATATTCGTCACTTGTCCCTACATAGATGAACTCGTGTCTCTCCAACTCTCTAATTTTCTGACTATTTTCGATACCCCAAGTTAATTGAACATCTCCCGTTGGTTCACATTCACAAGTGTCCATATCGAGTGAATATGTCATGTTGATTATCCAGGCGAATGTAATAGTCATAACGTTAATAGTTAGTGCAATACTTGTAAACTCAAGCGTTACATGCGAACTGATTACACCAAGTACGTATCGCTCAACCATTTAATCGCAGTAGGCTTTACTATTATTACATCAAATACATCAGTTCCATGGATTCATAGGAAATTTATTACGGTCGATACAAAATGACATTCTATCAAATTCGCTGTAAATTATTAGATATACTACTAAAGCAAAATAAGTTTAAATGTTCGCTTGTTTGGTATTCTACAAATGAGTTGACGACTACATCATTCGTTTACTGCAACAATTATCAACCACGCCTATGTCTCTTTCTCACTGTAGTTGAGCCAGCTCTGTCGTTATTTACATATATATATAAACGCTGATTGAGTACATTGGGGCCGGCTCCTTTCTCGTTACAGTTGAGACTAATCTGCGATGTAGTTGCTGACCATGTCTTTAATCCACCGCGAAAGAATTTAAAGTCGATAAACTTGGTTATGTCTTTGATGGTTTCATTACGCCCAACGCTTTCATCTCCTGCGTTGGGACTGACAAGCTTGAATTTGTAATCTGCCGCCGTATTCTGGAATCCACTTTGAAAAACACCAGTCATGGTTAATTGGCCACAAGGATTCTGTACGAACTGGACCGAACCGACTATACAGCTTGGATCCGTTGCATCCTCTCCGAACTCTGCGATAGCCTGAGTACACTGACATTTACTTACAGGTGGCGATGGTTTGTTGTTGCGCTTTTGTTGAACTTGTCCGCCAACTTTTTCGTATTCAACGTTGCCAAAGACATATTTAGATGCGACGGGTGATTGGAAGATGAGGACAAGTACCAGCGTACAAAGGAAGAGTTCGATCAATGTTGATTTCATCGTAATATACGAGTGTGGTGTATAGGCCTATAATAACGTGAGTGTCAAGCGCGGGTATATTTATTATATAGTATGTTTACGCTGATGTGGCCTGATTGGGAGGATTGTAACTCGTCTTATTTTTTACGTTAAAAGAGAAGCTTTATAAGACCATGGAAACCACAGTTAAGGACTTTATAATAAAGGGGGGTATGCGGTTATTTATATAATATCTGTGGCTAAAGTTAGATGGACGACTAGTCTGTCTTTGAGCGAAGATATGTATGAAGTATGTATATCCCTTTCATTACCTTTTTCCGCCAACACCACCCTATAAATCTCATCACACGTACCCTGTTTTTTATGTGGGCGCGCCACCAACGGAGTTGCAGTTTCCGATTTACTTCTATTTATATCTAATTCTCATTTAACCTTGGTAGTGGGGGGCTGTGTAAATAAAAATAGGAGTGCAGTGTCCTAACCATAATAAGATAAAGCCTCCATGCACCCGGCGACCTGGTAAATATTGTTGGGCGATCTCTGATATAAACTTTTTGCTATTATTATCGTTATCATTAACGCTCATGTTCATTCATTTTTTACCAAAAACCACACCGCTACCCCTTAAAAACCCTCGAGATTTCCTTCTCTCATTGACGATCGGCAAGAACTTTCCAACAATTTCTTTGTTGTATTAAGTTTGGTAGTTATTAATCTTTTCTGCTCATGACATCTGATTGTCGGACCTCGAAGTTTGGAGAAGATGCATTTTTAACGTCAGCGCTCGTTATGGTTGGTTGGCTAATGTTGAAATCTATTAATAGCAGAGAAGAACGAAGTTTGCGCGTCTAAATATAGATGCGCATTAGACGGAGTCTCGCTCCCGCGTACTCCCGCCCTCAACAATATGATTATCGTTATTATCATGCAGATAGTGCAATATATACTTTTATTCTCAAGATCATTCACGGATCACCATATCTGTCTGTAAGATGCATATTAAATTTAATATTATCATCAGCCCATTTTGCATAATTCATCACGCCCCCCTCAACCATACATCCATTAACATTTTATATTGACAGCCCGTATTTAAAAAGGTGTTGCGTTCTTTTAATATCAACAATTGGTGTGTGGTATATCCCGTAGCTTGCTTCTTGCCCCCCCGCCAACCTCCCTCAATTGGTTACAATATCCAACACTTTTGCTTTTAAAATTTTAAATAAAAGTGTCGTTTGCCAGCTAGGATACAAACAAATCAACTAAATCATAAAATATGAAACAGTCGCCACTTTTCGTAGTTGTACTGCTGCTATCTATAGCGTCTATAATAAACGCCTCTCCTCACGGCGTTATATCGTTACCACTGAAATATACAAAAAGATCAATTGAAAAACGAGATCCAACAAACAATCTGAAAACTTTCGGAAATGATGTCTATGTAAATATATCCGATTAGATTATTGATACGTAAAACTTTGCGTCAACTCTTTGATTATGCGTGCGCTTAATGTTTCCGTGTGATTTTTCATAGTGGTCGGCCGAAGTAATTTTGGGTACGCCTCCGCAAAAGTCCAACATGCTCATAGACACTGGGTCATCCAATATGTGGGCCTACTCCAAGTCTTGCGGAACGGAAGAATGCTTCCGTAATTTCAAAGGAACTAATCGCTTCAATCAGTTTGTATCAACGACCTTTGAATCGGCAGGAAATCGTGTCTTTGACATGACATACGGAGGCGGAACTGGGTGAGTATCACTAACTGATATATTCAAGCGTCTTCTTACTGTGACTTGTTATTGCTGACATCATGTTCATGTTTCTTTGATAGGATTGCATACAAGCTCGGGAAGGAAATTTTACAAATTTCCGGAATAACAATCAACAAACAGTCAATAGGCACAGCAACTAATCTGGTCAATCAACAAATAACTTTCGATGGCGTCGTGGGTCTTGGGCGAGACGCGAACGTCAATCCGTCTGACCTTGTAGGAAAACTCACGACTCCGGCGACTACAATGTTCAAGCAGCACCTGGTTAGTGACAAAAGCGAGAATCATATAACATATAATTCCGTTGGGCTCGGCTAATCCATATTCTCATATCTAGATTAAAAGCAACATGTTCTCCCTCCTTCTGAACAGCTTTGCAGATGGTGGCGGCGGTGAGCTTTTGTTTGGAGGGGTAAATAATTCCCATATTGAAGGTGAGTTGCCGCCTCAAGTCAAAAACGCACACTTTTGGAATGCTATCGTGTTCTGACGATTCGACTGTTTACAATCTAGGTGATATTGTTTACGTTCCTACCGTCAGTAAAGACCAATGGAGCGTTGAATATACTGCAATATGCGTTGGATCAACGGACATTAAGAGATCAGCACCAGAAGCAGTTCTGGATACTGGATCAGACAGCATATATACTACATGTGGCACGGCGGAAGCTATCTACAAAGAGATTCCGGGAGCACTGTTTGATAAAACTGGTGATTGGATTGTTCCGTGTGAATTGCCTGATGAGGTGTTTGTAGCGTATCAAATTGGCGGCGTCAAATGGCGTGTTCCAGCAAAGGATCTTGTTACTGGGCCCGTGGTGGGCAAGGATGGTTATTGCAGAGGAGCAATACAAGCAGACGAGCTTCCGTTTGACATTCTTGGTGTACCATTCATTAAGCAGTTTTATACAGTATTTGACTCTGATAACGAAAGAATTGGTTTGGCTATAAAGAAGTAATGGAAGTAATATATTATGAACAATAATGTGAGAATTTGACAAATAGGCAATGTAATTAATGATTTGATCCGATTAGTGATAGAGTGACGACATAGAGTGATGATTGCCCAAGTTGTATTGACTATATATATAATGAATGAGTTTATTATACGTACATATTTACTTGGTTGCTGCCGCTATGTTATATATAGATTGATGTCTTTCTCTGACTCAGAGAGAAGAGAATATTTAGGTGGAGACTCTGTTCTTTCTCTCTCTACGTACGTTATTAATATATACATACACTCTCTCTATCTATAATATCGTCATCATATACTATGTGTTGGTTGGTGTATGTTTGTTGGAGAGAATGACAGACAGGGTGAATGCAGTATATAGTTAGTACGTGTATGTAGTAAGTAGTAAAAAGAAGTAAAAACGATCGCTGTTCCGATAAGGTTTATCGGGTATGCACCAATAAGAATTGACGGATTAATTAATTAAGAAAGAACGCGAAAAGCCAATTATAATCGACATTCAAATTAACGATGATTTATTGTGTAATGAATGATCTATTTTTATATATCATGATAATACACACGTGTATATTAATATATTTATTTTTACCCGAACCCTGTCGGGTGATCATTTTTGTATGTTTGGCTAATAATAACGATAATAATAATGTGTGTTGTAAATCGTGGCGGGGAAAAGGGGAAAGGGGAAAGGGGAAAGGGGAAAGGGGAAAGGGGGAAAAGGGAAGAGGGAAGAGGGGCGACTCACACATCAACGCGTCGAGCTATCCCTACGCTTCTCTCAGGCTTCAATCTAAATGCTACGTAGAAATTCTAAAAACAAGAACGCAAATTTATCATTAACAAAAATATACAAGCAACCCTTTTGCATGCGATATTATGTATATATACCTTAATAAACGTATCGCCCAACAACCACTGATCATCAAGTTCGCCACCTTGAGTGCCTGTAATGCAATTGTTTGTATTGTTTATACGCTGAAACGCAAGATCCTTGGCCGGCATGATATATTCTTCATTTCCAATAATGAAACTGGTCGTAAACGTCTCGTCTATGTCACAAGGAACAGTGCGTAATCCGGTTTCATTGTCAATACCCGATCCGGGTATTTCAGCGAAAAGAATCTCTGCATACTTTTCTGGAATTATGTTTACTGTCGTCCCAGTGTCTACTATGAAACGTGTAGGAGGCGTAATTATCTTGTTGGCAAATTTGATACCCTTAACTGGAATTTCCCATTCTAGTAACGAAGTAACGGGAAGGTATTGAATAGCACCTATAGGAAAACGACGTATACAAATACCACGTGTTAATATAATCAGCTCGTGTATATTGAACATAATTAGCCTTTACCTTTGATGATTGATAGGTCAATGCCACCGAACATAATTTCTCCTCCACCATGAGACACCAAACGGACGCCAAAGACAGGTTCAGCTATCTACATTAATATAACGCATTAGTAATTATTTGGCTTCCCTGGCGACCATCGTTACTATTTACTCACTAAATTTTGTTCTACCATGTTCTCAAATATCGTATTAGGTTTATCTGGAACGGGCGATTTAGCACCAAACCCTAGTCCAAGTATGCCACTCCCAGGAAATGGGGCTGTAACATCATCAGCAGCAATAAAAGTTTGGTTTTTTACTGCAAGAAATCCGGCCGAAAAGACGTCTGTATGAGAATGTAAGAGGAATTGAGCAAGAATGTAAAAAAAAATCAAAGTTTTCTAATGTCTATAAATCATGTTTGTTAATTACCCCTGACGACTCTCCCTGATACCGTTAACCCTCTTCCAAATTCAATGGAAGCGGATTTCCCTACTTCTGCAGTAGGTAGGCTAGACGTATCGAGTCTTTTGACGGCCGTGCAAATGTCTCTGTTACACTGGGAGGAAACTACCCACGAAGTCGACGAGCCAGTATCTATCTGGAGAGGAAATTCTTGGTACATTGTTCCTATGCCAAAAAAGCCAGTCCACTATGAATGACAACATATGTAATTAATAAATGCGTCTTGTTTATAAAAGAGCCATCGTAATTTTAATTCGAATACTTGCTGAATTGTCGTTGTCGTTTGTGGCAATTGGATAAGTCTCGACCAATCCTTCAGACTTGCGTGGGTAAGTTATTGGCTTATATCCCGTATCCCATCTCTTTGATATTTGAGTATCATAAACAATGGGCAAGCGCACGATTCGAGCATGACGATCAAAGCTTTTGATCGGAAAGCTTCGTACCAATACAATGAATAATAATAGAATGATGTATGTCGGAGACGATCTCATGATATCGTATGAAAGACTAGGGAGTAATGGAATTAAAAGAGGGAATGAGCGTTGTGCGGTGGGAGTGGGACTAGAAAAAAAATGATAAATGGAGGAAAACTTATGACCAGGCGGTCCTTAAATAATTTAAACGTTTATTCAGCAATACGTGTAGTCCGAACCATAATATCCGTAATATGTAACGTATTTTATGCGCTGCTCATACTTAATACATATACTATCTATATATGGTTCATTCCAACTCATCGATCGATATCTTTTAAGCCGGTATATATAAATACCCATCACCCAACTTGCAACGAGGCCATCCCCTACAATGGTATTCATGCATAAACTATCAGACAAGGGACACAAAGGGACAGAGATCATTATAATACGTTAGCGACGACAGCACGATAATAATAGTAGCAAATAAGATATTCGATGACGTATCTGTAGTTATTAATATTATGCCCATTGTTCTGTCGCTATAAATACGACTTGCCATGATTGGCATAAGCTTTCAGTATGAAAGTACTCTATTAGGTAACAAGATTTCGAAGAATTATTGCACAATTTTTTTGCCCGTGATCTTAAGCCCTTTAAGTAGTTCATGTGTCGGGAAACCACTCGTAGTATCTATCTGCAGTGGAGTTTATCTCTGCGCTTCTAAAGAGAATGTCGTAAAAAGAACGCCCTTGGTGTTTGTTCTTATTATAAATGAATATATTAATCATCATCACCGAGTATTGGTAGAGAATTGTACTAATGTTATTGTGACAATGATAACAATTAATTAAAGAATTAATAAATACATTAATTTGATGTGTATATATCAATCGTCTGCAGCTATGTGTCAATCGCGCAAAGTCATATGACAATGTCGTGGAAAAAGTTGCCGTGAATCAGTTTCGTGACGGATTAGAAAGCGTAATGGACGCGTCTGTTGGTAATTTCTTATTATAACAGCTTTCGACTTTTATGCGTATCCCAATTTTGATCAACTTTGCCAATGGACACATGTCTGAATGTGCTATCGAATTATGCCGCATTTATTGATCCTTCTGTGTTAATAATCAGAGATTATGTGTACAAACATATTAGTATTCGCTTTATTCAATACAGTAAAACAAGTGTTCAATTAACCGATGGCGTTTCTCTTTATTTAACAAAACCTTCGCTCTTTTAGGGTACACCTACCAGTTGGCAATTCGATCCTAAGCGAATCTTTGTTCTTGCGTATGACTTTCTTGGTAAACATCCCACGTAAGAGATAGCTTATTAATATCTTTACCAAACGTACGATATTTATTATCTTGAACACCTGATTTACAATCACGTGTCCTTACTAATCCTAGCGAGTAGGAGAAAAGGTTCTCGTACCACTACTAATTGCAGTTTGATCTTTAATCAAGCTAATAAATATTAATAGCGTGAGACTAATAAATATTGAGTAGCCTGGAATCACTACATATGGTAGCGCAAGCAAGCTGATAATCATCCAGATCTCGAAAAACAAGTATGGTGCGTTCGGATCTTTTTTGGCAAAGGTTATCAATTTCTTGTAGTCGGGACGCAATGGATATGCCCTAGAATTTTTCGTGATTGTGACGCTTTCCCTCAAATACGACTAGAAGTCCAAGAATCTACCGATTTCCTCATCCATGCCCAGGATAATATTTGAACTGTTGGAATTATGAAATCGGCTCGGTATCGCTCACTTTGTATTTCTTGCGTGAATCATTATCTAGAGTACAATCTCTATTCGTCACTAAAGGCCAAGAGAGACCCCCTTGGCTGTCTACTTCACTCTGTCCTCCTAAGCTCATAAAAGTAATCACTACTTCTTGTATATAGCTATATAGAATGTATGATAGTATAATTAAGGCATCAGTTATGCTTGGTTAGGTAGCAGCACCTAATAAAGACCCCCAAAATACTAAAAGACATGCAGTGTGACTCACATGGTAAAGCCTTGGGCAAACTACAAATGCCCATTCCCAATTCTTGTTTGAAGCCAGAGGTTTTCGCTTTCACAAATGTGCCTGGCCCGCGCCAATCTTGTCGGTTGTTCGGAAAAGACTTGTTGACATCTGATCCAGTTCTATGCCCTCTTAACTCAAATATCCGTCTTTAATCTCCCCCACTTTCCTTATTTTATAATGTTTCGAACAGTCACACGTTAAGATTAGCGAGTTGTCGAAAAACTGTAGACAGCAGCTTGATGTATTTGTACGTATAAGTTTATTGGTGCAACAGGCGGAATGAAAACAACACAGCGTGCACGGAACGTAAACGACATGGAGTTACTGCATTGTTAAACCGACGCGAAAGTCTTGGATCAGGTAATCTGGATTGAGGGTAATGAATAGATAGTATGTATGTGTGTTGATTATCTCCAAGAATAAAAATTGGTTACTGTTACGTCACAAGACCTGCAAAGCATGCTATATTCCGTAATTGGAAGAATGTC